GTTAATTAAATGGGAAACTAAAATAAAAATAGCGACCCCTTAGATTTGAGCTATAGGACTCATGTTTGGCGAGAATTTTTTTTTTATATCAAATAGAAACATTTGAGAGGGTGTCAGAAAAAAAAATTAAAAATTTTGTTTGAAGCACCCTAATGTATATACTGTATTTTTTTCATTAATAATAAAGTTAATTTTTATAAAAATTTATAATGGGCAATAATTTTTCCCTTCGGGGGTCACATGCGGCATTTCTGATGTGGCAAGACGTTATATGCCCCTTCCTTGCCCTAGGGGGTAGTGTGGCTTCCCACTTAGGGACCCTACCTGCACAACCCTTAAAATTCTAGTCGGGTTATAAAAAAGATTCATTAGACTGGATGGTTCATAGGTTTACGTTAAAAAGTGTCAATTACATAAATAGAAAGGTATGTTAGGCCAGGCAAATGTTTAAGTGCAAAAATTACTAAATAGTAAAGACGGTAAACTAGTAATCGTAAATACAAATTCATTTTAAACGTATGACCCCATACATATAAAAGGTATATCTAAATCATTTGTGACATAAAAAAAATAAAGCTAACATTTCATCTGCATTCCCAGCTGTAATTCAAATCTAATCGTAAAGTAATTTATTTGATGATGCTATTTTTGATTTCATTAATGTCCTAGTCTAAAGATATGTATGAGACTAATTACGTAAAATCACTCCACTTGCTTTTCGTATAACATTATACAGAAATTGAAAGAAAATTATTCGTTAAATATTCTGAAAATTTACGAAAAACGTATCATTTAGTATTCAACAATATGCAATATTTTAAGTTAGGTACGATTAAAATATGTCGCCAAAAGAAACCACACATATGTGCATCAGTTTTAATCAATTTTTCTGCTTAATTTTTAATTGTTAATTACTCAAAAGGGCAGATAAATTAGGCAAAGAATTCATTACCAGACTTTTTGCTCGCAAATAGACAAGACAAGAAAAATGTCTTAACAAACTGTTAATTTTGTTGAAATTGGAGAACAAGTAGACGCCTTACAATAAACACCATTATAGTAAAATAATGTAAAATATACCTTTGTACATTGTACAGTTCGAATCAGAAATAATGCAACAAATACTATGTAAAGCATTTTTGTAATTTCTTTTTTCTTCTTCAAATTGTTCTTTAATTATAACATTTCTGTATTAGCTGGTTTGGCGGTTTTAAAAGCGAAATATGGTAGGTAAGACAAGTAAATACATACTAATTTTTTTATCAATTATGGCGGACGGTTTCAAAATGAACGACAAACTACAACGAAAATGTACTTTAAAAAAACAGAGATTGGAGAAGTATGATCTTTTGAATACCCTAAAATCAACAAATTAAGCACATGCTTTTAAGAAACAACGTGTTGCTAGAATGTTTTTAGGTTAACATTATTGGGAAAAATTTTAGTGCAAAACTATGTAATATTGTAACATCTTATTTTGACAATATTATAATCTGCTATGCTGAACGAATAGAACAATTTGTTATAAAGAATTAAAATCAATAATAAAGCTTTAACAAATGCTGTGGTACATTATTGGTACCTTCAACAAGTAATATAAGTTTAAACGTACGTACACATTAATACGTAATACAAAATGAAATGAAATTAATATAAAGACTCACCAACATTGGTAGGTGATGTTAGAGCAAATAATTTTGCATTATAAGCTAATAAACACATAATTATCACAAAACTCTTTAAAAGTGTCCACACGCGCCGCAAGTAAACACGCAACTGCATGGCAACGATGCACGTATGAAATGTTTGGGTAAATTTGCAGTTTGCGGAGTTGTCAGAACTTTAAAATTTTCTGTGCATCTACTGAAATTGATAACGCCATCGACGATTTATGAAACCCCGTAATATTTTATAAGAACAAAAAAACGATATGCGAAATAATGAATTGCCTTTTGTGTCTTAATACTGAGTTAAGCAAAATGTTCTAAATATTAATATTAGTCAAAAACAGAAAAAAGAAAAGACCTTTGCATTTCTTTTTAGAAACGAGTAACTTACACAAATAGTAAAAAACATTACGTTAGACCCGTTAAACGAACAAAAACAAAAAGAATAATGGACAAATTAAAATTTTTATATAGAATCTTANAATAATCCTTCAGGATCCTTGCTACAGTTTTCGGTGAAACATTAGAAGGCAACTTTAACCAAAGGACAACCTCCGCAGAAAGGATTCCAACATTACTGAAATCAAGTAACAACTTCCTAACAGCTAAGATTTTAAGGACTCGCATAAATACAGCATTAGTTTCCATTATAACCCATGTTCGTTCGTAATTTTAATTCTTCGCAAAACAGCAAAAAGCCTTCAAGTAAACATACTTGTTATTGTTATTATAATAATATTCTAATAATACAATTGACCTAGACATTGACGATCTAGCAGAATAGATAACGTATCTAATGAAGCTGAATGGTGGGTAGAGATGTTTGGTGAGGGGTGATGATAGCAGCTAACATTCTAGAAAAGAAATTGTTTTTCATTCTGTTTATTTATCTAATTAATTAAAACCACGGTCATACATACTAATTTCTTGTTTTCTCTGATGACTTAATTTTTAAAAAGTAGGGCAATATCATATTATATTGAACAAAGTTGCGTTTCTTTGCGATTTTGGAATTTAATTAATTTAGATCCATTATGTAAGCATTTCATTATAGGGATGGATTTCTGCGGGTGTTTAAATGAATTAAAAAAAGGATACTTATGAAACTATAACTTCATACGATACATTTTTTTTGTTTATTTTAGTTGCGTTTTTTCAAAAATTTGTCCTCGTTTTCCTAAAAAGCGTTAGAAAAGTCAAAAACACAACCAGAGTGGATATATTTTCTTAACACAAGCCCTATTTGTTTTTATATTTACTATTTGCAAATCTTTATTAATTTTAAGTAAATAATAGTACCTACTTCTTATCCTAAAAAATATTTTTTAACATCATCGTAATCATTAAGGACTAGCCCTTTTCCGGAATTAGTTTTATTATTTTCTCAATTCCATTTTAATATCCAAAAAGGATATTTCATAAAGATGATTCAGAAATATTAAATAAAATATTTGAGCAAAGATAAAGAAAAACTGAATAATAGGGCCAGCATGATACGATTGATTATTATTAATTTAACATCACCTTATAGGAAGACTTTGTGAAAATGCCTAAGCTGTGATATAAATCATATAATTTATACATTTGTCATGGTGGAAGGATTTCTATAAATATTAAGTACTATATGCAATTGGGCATTTCTCAGCAAAGTGGGAAATTCGCTGTCCCGGACCAATATTAAAGAATATGGGTATTTATAAGAGTAAGCAAAGAATCTAGGCACTTAAGGGTTGGAATGTTTTTGGGTTCTTCGCACAAATAAAAACCTAACCAACCCTTAAGTGCCTAGAGTATTTTCTTAGTCTTATCCAAACTAAGGGGAAGAAATGGAGAATAAATAACTATGTAATCTGCAGCACACAATATGAAATATATCCAGACCAAATCAGTTACTAAATTATTTTATGATTTTTAATAGGTTCCCAATAGAACCTTATTTAAACTGTATTTTGAATATTTTTTAATCTGCTGTTTACCCCAAGAGACTTCAACAGTCCCACTTTTGCAGCAAAGCACCCTTATGCTATTTGCTTTACGTTAAGCGAACTTTTAGAGGAGAAATTTGCAGAGATATAGAATGGTCTACGGTCTCCTAGTTTTAACTGCCTGTTAGTGTGCCATTCTAAATAAGTTAGTGAGATAAGTATTGTGTGTAAATAGCAAAATAACATAATGATTTGTGGATTTTGTGATAACGTAACATTCCTTCAAATTAAACAATCCCCTGTCGTCAGTTCCCTGTTACATAAGGGACAGGGGACTATTTTATTCTCCAGATGACAGCCATAACAATTTTTCACAAATGAGAACAATAAAAAAATATTATAGGATTATAGACACAAAATTACTAGAATGGTTTTTGAACTTTAGCAACTTTGCCTGGAAGTAACACGAAGAGTGGCTATATAAAGGCGCGCGCACTCCCCTCCCCCCATTACCTCCACTGAAACCTCTTAAGTTTGATATTTATAACAATATGTTTATATGATTAAATTACAAATAAAGACTTACGTTTGTAATTAAAATGTACATTTACCATTTGCAATAGAAGTTTTTTCCCAAAAAGCTAAATAATTCTCAAAAACGTTTTTCTGTCGCCTATTGACCTCTATATTATAAATGAATATCGCAAATATAATAAATTTTGAATTAAAATTTTGTATACTACTTTATATGTAGGATCCAGTTAAGGCCATTCGCGCCATTTTGATGAACTTGAGGCATTTATTAATTTAAGATTTGACATTTTTATTACAACTTTTTCAATAACGCACAAAATTACAAGGTACGATTATAATAATTGCCATTAATTGGCACTGAGATCTCAAGTAACACAACATGCCGGCTATGTATTTATTGGTAAAAAACCAAATTCATCAATAATAATAGTCGTTTCATTAATTATTATTCTTTGTTGTTTTCCTAATATAGGTACTAAATATTGCAAAAAGTAAATGTAGCCTAATAATTCATTAATTCACCTAGTAGCCATAAAATAAAAAATGAAATTTTTANTTATAAAAAGCTATTTATTATAAAAGATTAAGCATGAGTTGATGATAAATGCTGCTTCAACCACTATTATTGAAAATATCATGGGCTATCAAGCGGTTTTTCTACGGTAAAACTTGTATGTATGTATTTACTAAATTATTTGTGTCAAAAATGCCAATGTAATTGAAAAACAAGAAATGTTGCAACAGATTTTCTCAGATTCCGGCTATTCTGATTCATAAATTATTTATCTTATTTGTGTTTTCTGTCATCTGTATCAAATTTAGTAGTTGTTATTCTTTCTAACGATTTCCCTTCACTTTTTCTCCTACGAATATACTGTTTTTCCTTCATTACCATTTCCTTTTCCATGAGTTCGTTTTTCTTATTGTCGTCCCATTCGGGAGTTCTTGCAGGACTGACATTGTCCTTTTTGCTAACCCACCATTTCCTATTTCTACTGCATTCGCTTTCGGTGGGACTTGGATTAGCGTCTTCATCGAAGTCTTCGTCTTGGGGTAGCTGTACGTATTTGTAATTTTTACTTCTTCGAATCAATGGTACCGACTCAAGTTGTGTAACAATTTTTTGAGCACATCTGAAAATAAAGGCAAAAATTTCCTCTTTTTGAAAACTATAAATCGTAAATTAATGATGAGTAAAACGGTCAGTGCCTAAAAAAAATAATAAGAAAAAAATCGTGTAATCTCAGGTACATTTAAATAATTTCTGATGTAGTATGAAATGAAATCAGGTGAAAATTTATTTATAAAAAAGTATTAGGAGAGACATGTAGGCTTAAAGCATCATTTATCAATTGGTATTAAGTAGGCAAGTTCTTTATTTTAAATGTTTTACAAGGATATCAAAACATCCAATGTAATAAACAAGCCTGAATACCTTTTATGTAATAAAACTACTATCAATTATGTAATTGATTCTACAAATCAAATTTGTCCACCTGGATCCTACATACATATGCATATACGTATGTATTACACTTCACAGAAAATGCTAATGAAATTTTTAACTCTTGGAAACAAACTTGACCTTAAATACATGAAAATATGTTTTCGTTTGTTCAAACAAATTGAAAAGTGCTGTTGGTAAGTAATTAAATTACCTTATTCTTGTTGAGGGTGGAGCTGCATTATGATTAGGGCTGGCTGTTGGCAACTCTTTGATGGGGGGTAATCTGTTGATATTGCTTCTTTCGGGGTGACAGTATTCCTGTAATTTGAGTTTCATTGCGTGCTGTTGATTTCTTCGGATAGCCCCAGTGGTAGGCTGTCGTGGATAGGCCCCCAGACACCGACCTCCGCAGCATGTTCCGCTTCCATCGGAAGAACTAGATGTCGAAGAGATGGACGAACCACCGCTGCTCACACTGTACAAACTGTCTGATTGAGGTACCGACGAAGTCCTCGAACTCATGGAGTAACCACTTGCAGACATTGGAAGCAATGGTCCAGTCTTTAAGTAAAAATCCCAAAATCATTTTTCCTATTTTGACCATGACCCGATTCCCCTATGACCAGTTTAAAGTACAGCTTAATGCACCACAAAGTGGTACCTACTACTTAGTAGTAGTCTCAGTAGTCTCCTGTTTTTTCTTTTGGTTGAACTTTTTCCAATTTTTTTGTATTAAAGTATTGTGTAACCATTAACTTACCTTTAGTCTCAATATTTTTGCTCTGCAAATGACACACCTCAACGGCAGAAGTCTCTGCGACACAGCGATTTGAATTGTTTTTACGAAACACTTCCTGCAAACGACTTGATGTCCACATGGAGCCGTTTGCATGGTCGCTTTCGCATGAATACATATGACACACTGTAAAAAATGTAACAAACAAAATATGCACATCAATTTTTCGTGTAAAATTACCTCTTCTTCGGGACTAGTTGCCAGTTCTGGTTCACTTTCTTCCAACTTAGTCAAAAGTTTGTCCTGAAAAAAATTGAAAATTTTGTATTGTTGGATCGTTCTAAATTTTAAAGCGAGACATTAAAACGGTTTTCTTCTAAATAGTTCCAATATTTCCCACATTTATTTAAAATTACTCGACAATTGTTTTTGACAATGCCTTTTATCAAGGGTGTTACTACTTCGCCTTCTTAATTTGACTCAAGATTAATTTTCAATCGGTTTTAAAAGGTTTTGTGTCGAAAAGGTACTCAGAAACCCTTTTAGAATTACTTAAGTGTCCTTGTGTCTATATCTAAGTCAGAGTTTATTATTAAGTAAATAATTACAACGCTATCGACTTGACATTTGGCATGTTTGGAGGACGTGTTTGCCTGAGGTCATTCCAGATGAAAATGTTCTAAAAATACTTTTTGTTTTATTGAAAGGGTTCTTCATGGATGCTCAAAAATTAGAAAAAAAGAGCGAAATTTTAGGTTCTAATAGTTTGTCGAAACTGTCTGCGACGCGCTGATGAGATCCAAAGATCGAAATCGCGATCCGCGTCTGGCAGTTTCGACAGAACACAGACCATTTTTTTTTTATTCTAATATCATATCATTGGCATACACAAAGCAATTTTTGTAGTTTTAAATCAAAAACCTTTTTGATGAATGAAAAGAATGTGTGAAATAATTCTCAAAAACGTTTTTCTGTCGCCTATTGACCTCTATATTATAAATGAATATCGCAAATATAATAAATTTTGAATTAAAATTTTGTATACTACTTTATATGTAGGATCCAGTTAAGGCCATTCGCGCCATTTTGATGAACTTGAGGCATTTATTAATTTAAGATTTGACATTTTTATTACAACTTTTTCAATAACGCACAAAATTACAAGGTACGATTATAATAATTGCCATTAATTGGCACTGAGATCTCAAGTAACACAACATGCCGGCTATGTATTTATTGGTAAAAAACCAAATTCATCAATAATAATAGTCGTTTCATTAATTATTATTCTTTGTTGTTTTCCTAATATAGGTACTAAATATTGCAAAAAGTAAATGTAGCCTAATAATTCATTAATTCACCTAGTAGCCATAAAATAAAAAATGAAATTTTTAAAAAGACTCACAAGGTCACCAACATATACAAAATTGGCAACAGCATTGATCAAAAGGATTTTTTTAATTATGCATAAATGTCGGGTATGAGTATATTCTTAAAAGTAACTAATAAAATAAATATAAACGCAAATAAAAATAACGTTATACTATATTTATTATGTATTGTATAGTGAATATGAGCAACGCTAATTAGAAGTGGGATTTAATAAGCGCCTAAATAAGTAAAATTAACTGTGAACCATTACATTTATCATACAAGATTAGTAAAAAGAAAACCTAAAATTTAAAACTTTGTCAAAAATAAAGATTAACACGATAAAACATCAAAATTATGAGCGTAATTGATAGAATGTGGAAACTGCATTAAAATCTACATTGGCCAGGCAGATAGATCTTTTAAATTACGTATAAAAGAACACACATATTTTGAGTTATTTATAATTATTTTAGTTTTAACAGCCCTTACCTTTTTTTTCTATGCATATTAAACAGAATTTTAATTGTTTCTTACTGAATGAATATTAATATTGTAATTTCTCTACTATTGTTTCCATCTTTAAGGATAATAATTAGTTAAAGATAAAGTATAATTATAATACTTAGACATTTTCTTCATATCTTATTATTATTAGTAAGTTGTTTAAAAACTATAAAATCAAATACAATTTAATAATCATTTAGCGCATTTTAAACTGATAATTATAAAATGTCAACGCGTCACTGAAGGAGTCAGGTAATCGAATTCAGAGATTACATAAATGTGTAATACGTTTTAGAGAAGGGTCGACGAAAAGAATTTAAAAAGAATTAAATGTCCAATGTTTTGACGCACACAGTGCTATCTATGTAATTACATTAAATGTGTATACCTGTTCTATGAAAATAATTACCTAGTGTAATAAAGGTCATAAAAAACAGTCTTCTGTGTACTTAAAATAGAACGATATGAAAATGTATTTTTAATTAAAAGTGGAAGAGACAGTAATTAGTGCATTACGCTACGTGCGAGTACATTTCGATAAGGTAAAAAGAATTACAGTTATTTATTGTTTGTATTGTTCTTTCATTCTGTTATTAACAATTATTAATATTTATTTCT